TACCGATTACGTGAAAGACGCCGTCTTTGTGAGTGATGGACACGACTCCGGGTGTTGTGAGCACTCGCTTCAAATTGGATCCCTTGGAACCGATGGCCAAACCGATCAAATGCTGTTCCACTTCCACATACATCTCGAAGCCGTTGTCGTTGTGTTTGATAACGTCGTCCAAACTGTCCCTTTGATCCGTCAACGCCTTCACGTTTGCCATCAATTGAAACGATTGTCGCAGACATCGGAAGTGAATGTCCGCCAAAAGCAGAGCTCGTTTTTCGACAATAGAGCGCAAGTGTTCGGTGGGTTCGGCGGCGAACCCGACGCACACCAGTATATTCATGTGATCCACGAAAGTCACCGAAACCAACGACAACGCCGTACGGAAGTGTTGATGCGTTTGACTCCTCTGAACCATCGCTGCGTTCATATCAACTAATTCTTTGGGCACTTTCATCACAAACTTGAAGAATGGGCTCGTCTTTAGGTATGGATTCGTATTCATCGGTCGGATCTGCTCTTTGGTCACGATGTCGGACATGTGATTGGTCTGCGCGTCGCCTCCTTTGCCATCATTGGAAGCGTTGGCCGCATACGAGACCACAAAGAAGTCGCCTAAGAGTTCAGACAGTTGAGACAATTGGGGCGACAATAACGGGGACTCATTAAAAACCTTTAACATCTTTGATGAGTGCCTTCCATAGGCCCGGATGTTCGCCCTCTTGAGCGGTGGTCAGCACTTCCACGGGCTGACCGATGGTATAGTCGGAGCGATTGGTAGTGTCGGCGGTAGCGGTCATCGGCGGTAATCGGACGCGAGTGACGGGAAAGGTCTCCATTTTGTGCCAATTGTGTTCAAAGGCGAGCGTCAATTGCGGCGCTTCTCTGACGGCCGAACCCATGGCCTGATGGCCGCCATTCAGACGCTGGCCGTCCATCACATCGACCACATGTGCCCTATAGTGGGCCCCGTTGTCGCCCAACACTTCCACCCAACCATCGCTGGCGGGGATTGTCTTCGGCGTGGGTTCGGACGTGTCTTTTGCGGACATGTTTTTTGGGACACTTTTTGGACGACAATTGGTTTGACTTTTTTTGCAGTTATAATGGGTTTACAGTTAGGGTTAGAGTCAGTGCAACACGTGATCACACTTTTTGGACCCTTTGATGCCTACAGTTAGCCCACAGTTATGTTTACCGCCCCTTATTGTACACTATTTTGACCTGTTTTTGGTGATGTTTTTCTGGCTAATTGTGGTCTCATTTTATGTTTTTACATTTATCATGTTTTAAGTATGGTACTTTAGATGTTTTACCCGGGTTGTTTGCCTCCCGGCCCACTTTTATGTACGCTATAACGGGAGTGGACTGTATGTGTGATGTGTGTGTCAGTGAAAGTGAAATCACTTTTTTGATGATTGAAAAGTGTTTTTCCTTTTGAACTGTATTTCAGTTTTTATTCAATATTTTCATTATTTTCTTTGAAATGACTTTTCATTCAATGATTGAATCGTTCATTGAATGCATTATTTTTACACTTTTTTGTCAAAACTTTTCATTTAATTAACTCATGTATTGATGATTAAGTCAATCCAATACTATATTTCATTATTCACATCATTAAAGTTTAATTAAATTAATTATTAAACATTGATTTTTATATAACAGTAAAAAGTATTCAGATATCAAATGACAGTTCAGTAGTTGTAGTTGTATTTCACACGAGGCTTTAGTTTAGGGCTCATTATAACTATATTAGTTTTATAAATCACAGAACATGGTTAATTAGTTAATTGCAAATTAGTCTATTGTACACTATGTTAATAGTAATCAATGTAATTGTATTGTTAACTTGATATACAAATATGCGTGCATTTACTGTTCAGACGTGAATTCTTAGCAATAATTTATTGCATACTTTGCTTAACGTTGAATATTCTGTTACAAAAATCTCAATCAAATTATAATATATTCTCAAATCCTAATCAAATGATGGGAAAAATGAGACGAATATAAGTTATAATGAAAATGTTGAGCACATTATAGGATTGTATGTCATCGCGAGTATTAATGGCCG